TTTTCTAATATTTTACCACATAAATATGATACTATTTATTTATTTTATCTTTTTTTTTTTTTTTTTGAAAAAAAACTTATCATTTGTAGGAATAGTTGTAACTCTTTTTCCTCTTTTTTGTTTTTTTTACCTAAAAGGTAAGCAATAATAATTCCCATAACCACTAATAAAACCGCACCCGGAATTACTACATATAACCAGTTAAATTCATTCTTGGGTTGGGAAGTATTGGTTGGTTGCTGCTTAACTTTCTCCTGTTGAGTTTGCTTTTGTTTTAATTTAGTTTGAATTTCTTGCTTTTGGTTTTCTAAACTTGCTACTTTTTGTTGAATTTCTTGTTTAGTATTTTGGTCTAAGGGTTCTTTCTCTTGCTTGGCTAATAATTCTTTAATTTGATTTTGGAGTTCAGCAACTTTTTGGTTAAGGTCATTGATTTCTTTTTGGAGATTTTGGACTTGTTGGCTGTTTTGGGGAGGGTTGGGCTGATTGTTGGTTGGTTTGTTGGTTGGAGTAGCAAGTCCGCGTTTTTTTTCTTTCTTGTTGAATGAAGTTTTTTAATTGTTCGTTGTTTTTTTTAAATTCGCGAAGTTTATCATCATCTTCTGGAATCTTTCTCTCGTCTTCTTTTTCTAAAAGAGCAAATGTCTTGGGCACTTCTTCGGCAATTTCTTGGAAGAAATCCAAATCATCTTTCGAAGGTCAATGTTCAGGAGGAATATCTTCTTCTTTTGCCTCTTTGGCAAACTTATGGAGCACCTCCTCAGCAACAGTTATTATTAAATTCGCTTCTGCTTCTTCAAGTTCTTCGGTTATTCCTGCCGATTTAGCCGCAGCGATTTTTTCTTTTCCTTTATTATATATGTCAAGAAAAATTGCTACTATCTAACCCTTCTAATTCGTGGCAAATTTCTAATATTTCTTCTTTTAAATTTGATTCATTCATATTTTCCTGCTTTTAATGATAAAAAAATGGTTTACTTTGGTCTTGGAAGACCAGCCTGTCAATTCCAATCTCTGTCTCAAGGTCATAAACTTTCCTGTCTTTGTAAATATTGTCTATTGTCTACTTCTCACTCAGCTAATTCTTGCTGTTTCCTTGCTTGTTCCAACTTTCGCTCTTCCAACTCTTGACGTCTTGCTTCTTGCTCATCTTTCTCTCTACGACGCTGCTCTTTTCTCTCTTGTTCTTTTTGCCTTGCTGCTTCCTCAGCTTGGAGACGCAATACATTTATTTCTTTATCTGCCTCTATGCGCTTTTCTTCTAATGATGCTTGCTGTCGCTGAAACTGTCATTGTTGTTCTTCTCTACGGGCTTCGTAATCTTGTCTTTGTTGCTCTCTTGCTTCTGCTTGTTTTTGACCTTCTAATTGAATTTGTGCCATTAAAGCCGCTATTTCAGAACTAGAAGAATTATTTTTTTCAGATAATTCACGGCGCAATCTTTCGGTTTCCTGCTGGCTTTGCTGAACTTGGGCTTGGATGGCTCGCATTTGTTGTTCGCCTGCTTCCCGGATACTTCTCGCTTCTCGTTCGTGGGCGTCCCTTATTTGTCTTTCCCGCTCTTGATTTTGTCTTTCCAAGTCAGCCATGTCTCGGCGTTGCTTTTCTTCCATTTCGGTTTTAGTTTTGCGTAAATTTCCGCTATTTCAGAACTAGAAGAATTATTTTTTTCAGATAATTCATCAAATTTATGTGACTTGAGAACTTCTATTATTTCTGTATGATTTAAACCTTTAAAATCAATTCCTTCTTGAAAAAATCTAATTATATTTTGCATTTTATTTATTTGTTGTTGTAATTCTTTAATTCGATGTGACTAGTATATATAGAGTTTAAAAATTAATTAACAAAACAAAATATTCTTTTTTGTATATATATTTCAATTTCAATT